TTAAAATTAAAATGTAGATCCTGAAGCTGGGCACAGTGACACACCCCTATAATCCAGGACTCAGGAAGCTGAGGCAGGAATGAGGTCAACTTGAGCTATACTGGGAGTTCAAGGCCAGATTGAACTACATAGTGAGATCCTATCTCAAAAATCAAAAAAACCACACACACACACTAAAACCCAAACCCACAAGATACGGTGAATGCTGCTGTCAGGTGCCAGCCAACATAAAAGCAGGCTCCTAAAAAAAATATGATGTGTCTTCATCCACCTTATTTATCAATTCTAGCACTGTGCAACTTTTGGCTCTTCCCCAAAGTCAAAACGACCATGAATTGGTTCAGGACACTGAGGCAGGCACAACAAAACAACTCACAGAAAAGTACTTCTGAACTGCTTCCGAAAGCGTCATACACAGTGGCATGAGTGTTTGAAGCGAGGGAGTATTCTGAGGGGTATTAATGACAAAGCATCTTTTACTGTAATGATTTCTACTTAATAGTCACCATAGTCTTTCATCACACCTCATATATTACATACATACCATGTACATATATGGCACACTGCACAGGTATCATTCATTTTGTGGTCTGTTTTCCTTCTCCAGACAATGCACAAAAACAATCTTTTTCTACTTTATTCATCTAGCATCTAACAGACACAGAGAAGTTATACAACAGCACCTTGTCATAGCACTGAATCAACAGGCTGTTTTATATTTTCTTTGTTTCAATTTGGGGGGTAGGGGGTACCTGAACAAGGTCTTGAACTCAAGACCTTGTGCTTGCCAGGCAGATACTGTGCCACTGAGCCACACCCTCGGCCCTGGTGTTTTTATGAGACAGGGTCTTACTATGAAGCTCAGGATGACTTTCAACTCACTATGTAACCCAAGCTGGCCTCGAATTTGCAAGGATCCTCCTATCTCAGCCTCCTGAGTGCAGGGATTACAGGCATAGGCTAGCACACCCAGCCTTTCTGCTTTGTATTCTGAGATACCATGTCACTATATGGAGTAGTTTGGCCTTAGATCCTCCTGGGTCAACCTCTCAAGTGCTGGAATTACATGCATGTGCCATCACACCCTCATTAGGCCATTTAAAAATGCCACCACTGCCAGGGATGGTGGTTCATGCTTGTTATCCAAGAAATCTAGAGCCAACTCAGGACAAATTAGCAACTTGGAGAGACTATGTCTTAAAAGGGGGGTGGGTTGGAATGTAGTAGCTCACTGGGAAGGTCCTGGGTTCAATATTTAGTAACAAGGGCTGGCCAAAGAGTTTAGCAGATTAAAGCACCTGCAAGCAGGCAGGGGGGGCTGGGTCACAAGCCTGCTGTGCTGGCTCCACCCCCGAGGCACAGCAATTGAGACTGGGCGTGGTAGCTCGTGCCTGTAATCCCAGCTCTTAGGAGGCTGTAAGCAAGTGGATCATTAGGATTCGGATCTAGTAGTGAGATCCTGAACACCCTGTAGACTCTTCCCTAAAATACAAAAAAAAAAAAAAAAAAAATTAGTAAAAAAATAAAGGGGCCGTGGAGATGGCTCAGTGGAATAGGCGCTTCTCTGGCAAGCACAATGGGCTGAGTTCAATTCCTGGTTCCACGACTAAATAAATAAATAAATAAATAAATGAAATATTTTAAAAGCTAATACTGGATGAAAAACTTGACTCAGAACAACGTACTGTCACAGTCAGGCCCCGTGGAATCTCGGCGGGGCTGTGACAGCAGTGCTGCCTGCATGGGGGCACAGCTTCTGAGCCAAATACAGAATTTCACAACCATTATTTCCTGACTTCAGAATTAGGAAACATAAAGCACAAACACAAATTATCTATAATGATTTACAAATTGTGAAAAGCCAAAAACATAGGGTCATTATATCTCACAGCAGGTGAGATGACTCAGAAAATCTCCCCCCTTGGTGGATTTCCATCATTTCCAGCAAGAAGCCAAGGCCAAGATGAACATTCAGACGACTGGAAATAATCATTTCAGCTATAAAAAAACAACCTGGGTCTACAAACTGCCAGGGATCACCCAGCCAAGTTCAACGCCACAGCTCTCACTTGCTAAAACTCAAATTTCAAGGTGAAGAGTGCAAACACATCCAGTACTTGAATCTGTCCTACTTCAAAAAAGATGGAGAGTTAAGTGAGATTAAGTATGGAAGTGCCTTACAAACCCGAAAACTATGCAAGGATGAGTCACCCACAATTTCTTTAAGTTAATATCTTACCTATTTTCTTTTTCTGTTGCCGACCAGCTGACTCTGTTATTGTTTCCTTCTTCTTTTCCACTGTAAAAACATAGTAACACAACATTATGCTGAAGCACAGGACGCTGTCTCACTCCTGGATTGACTGAGGCTTGTAAGAAAGGGAAGACTGGAGATGGGGATGTAGCTCAGCAGGATAGGACCCAAAGTTGAAACCACAAAAAGAAGAAAAGGGTGTAACTTTTCTTTATGGTTGACTTCTTTATGGTCACGATTAATTTCACTGACCTGATCCTAAACTTGCTAACAGTAAAAGGAGAGTAGACACATTATAAGAATAAAACAATAGCGGCTGGCTGCAGCAGGAGCTCTGTGGTGGGATGCTCGAGTTTAGGCCCCAGCACTGCAAAAAGAATCACTGCACTTGTAAGCATCATTAGATAGGTACTTAGCACAGTGTTAAGTCAATACTTAACCACAAGGGAGATGATTTTTCAGACCACCAGCTGAAGAGGATTACCTGCGCCACCCCCAAAGCACAGCTTTCATTCAGACTCTGCTTCCTCAGATAACTAAGGTAAACTGTATGTTTACAATAGAAGGTAGGAAATCATTTATTCACTTATTGGCTGCCTAAGTAACAGGCGCTATTTCGAAGAGAGTAAAATGTATAATTCTTGCCTTGTAGAGGCAACTAAATGAGAGTAAAGTATCAGGACAGATGGACATATGCACAGAACAGGAAAATCAGGAGGGCCAAACAGACAAAGACAAGTGTGTAAGGTAAGAGAGCAACAATAAGCTTCTCAAAAGGAATAGTGTAATGTACTTATATTTATTGTCTTCAATCACCTGCAAATAGACTAGAAATATCAAAAATTACCTTTACTTATTTACATGTTCCCCATATTACCTTAGTATATTAAAAGTAAGCAGCAATATACATGTATTATTTCTAAAAATTAAAAAAGAGAATTAGCAAGGAGAACTTTCCCTTAATACATTAAGTTTTTTGCTTGAATTCTAAAAGCAAAACTGGCATTATTACTTTATCAGAGATATAAAATTCAAAGTGACTCCATTCTTGCAAATGAAATACAAAGTGTGGACAAAGATAAAACGCATACATTGGATGCCTTAAGAAACACATATTGGGGGGCCGGGGAGATAGCTCAGTGGAATAAGTGCTTCCCTGGCAAGCACAAGGGCCTGAGTTCAATCCCTAGTCCCGCCCCCCCCCCAAAAAAAAAAGAAGAAGAAACACATATTGGGGCCGGGGAGAAGGCTCAGTGGAATAAGCGCTTGGTAGATAAAAAGAAAAAAATTACTGGGTACAATGACACACACTTCTACTCCCACCACTCTGAGAGGCTGAGGCAAGAGGAACAAAAACTGTAGCCCAGCCTGAGCAACACAGCAACTTAGCAAGACCCTATCTCAAAATAAAAAATTTTAAAACAAAACTGTGCCAGGATTAGTGTGAAGGACCTAGGTTCAGCCCCCAGTACTAAAATGGAAAAAAAAAAGAAAAAAGAAAAAAAAAGGGAAAAATATTATATAAACATTATAAAAGGTACTTATATATTTAATACATGCATAAATGCAGAGAATGCTTGATTTAGAATAAAGCTACTAGTGTGAGGTTATAAAATGAAGTTAATTTGGGCTGGCCAGACAGCTCAATGGACTAAAGCGCCTGCTTAAGCAGATGCAGGGACCTGGATTCCATACTCAGTTTGCCATGCCCCGAGGGTATGCTGAGACAGTGACTGAGAGTGGGTGTGGTGGTATGAGCCTGTAAATCCAGTGCTTGGGAGGCTGAAAACAGGAGGATCACTACAAGTCTGATCTCTATAGTGAGACCCTATAGACCCTGTACTAAATACATAAAAAAAAAAAAAAATTAACTCAAATTCCACAAATGTTACAGAATGATAAAAATGATATCTTAAGAGATAAAATGGACAAAAAAAATGTTTATTCTTTATTATTTCAAAAAGAAAAAATATGACCTTTCCACTCTAGAAGGACTATAATGCAACTATTTATATTTAAAACTAACTGCATAAAAAACAAGGGTAAGCAAAAAAGACAAAAGACTAGAGACTCCATAACAAGAAACAGAGATTCTGGAATTAACAGGGTTAGCAAGAACCCTAAGGATTTTTTTTTTTTTTTTTTTTTTTTGCCCCTCGAATGCCTTCAGGGCACTTTTGGCTGGCTGGAGGGTTGTGGGGATCGAACTAGAACAAGCTGAGGCTGACAGCTTTGTGGAAGCAGCCACTTAAAGAACTGAGCTAGGGCCAGGCCCCCAGCAAGAACCCTATTACACAATTTACATCATAGAAAAGAACACCTGCAAGCAGACAAGCAGAAGGAACAGCAGCAGCCACTAGAAAGGTCTCAGCGCAGGAGGGTGACTAATGCATCCAAGGAACAGAACACAGGCCACGTGAGGGAAGCACAGAGAGAAGAAAGGGACACCTGGGAGGACAAGAAATGTAGACCACTGTGGGGACTTGGGCCTTTCCTCTGTACTAAGGTATGACACCGCCACAGGGGCATGAGCACATGAGGGACACGGTAAGATAGGCTTTTGCAAGGACTGCTCTAGCTGTTACCCTGAGAAAGACTACAGAGACAGGAATGGCTGCTGCTTATAATCCACATGAAAAGCATCATGCTGAGTGTGGTGGTACAGGCCTCTAATCCCTGCACAGTCAGAGGCTGAGGCAAGTCTACAGGGTCAAGTCTCTAATGACTCAGTACCCTGTTTCAAAAATTTTAAAAAGGGCTAGAGACGTAGCTCAGCATGAAGGCCCCACGTTCAATCCCCAGTACTACAAAATAAATTAAAAATTCAAAAATCAATATGCTTGGGGGCTGGAGAGATGGCTCAGTGGTCTAAAGCACCTACTTGGAACAAGCTTGGCAAAGCACAGGGACCGCGGTTCCATCCCCCAGCACCACATGCCAGCCAGCCCCACCCCCTGATGGGCTGAGCTGGCCACAAACACACACACACACACACACAATAAATAAATGTAAATAAATAAATAAATAAATAAGAAAGACATTTAAAAAAAAAATCAATATGCTTAAGATCATGGTGGTACAAAGTGGAGGCACTGAAAAGGGATCATATCCTGGATATTAGAAGACAGCCCTGTACTGTTTGTCAATGACTGGACAAGGCTTATGAGAGGAGTCAACGAGAACTATACCCAGGGCCATCGAGATAGCTCAGTGGTCTAAAGCGCCTGCTTAGGCAAGCGCAGGGAATGGGGTTCGATCCCTGGCACCACATGCTAAGCCAGCCATCAAGTCTGGTGTGGTGGTGCATGCTTGTAATCCTAGCCCTAGGGAGGCTGAAAACAGGAGGATCACTACAAGTCTGAGTCGCGTAGTAAGACCCTGTACCAAACACATTTATTTTAAAAAAGATAACTACACAAGTATTATAGCTTGAGCAGCCCAAAAGATGGATGTGCCATTGATCAATATCAAAAGGCTACACATGAAGCAGGCTTGGAAATGAAAAACAAGTATTTAATTGTGGGGTTTGAGATGAGTTTAGACTATGCTAAGATGACAGATTGCTACTGAAATAATGAATTTTATATTAAGCAGAAAAGGCCAGAGACATTAATAATGGGGGCTACCAGCCAATGAGTTCATAAGAGAGTGAATATAAAGAAAAAAACTTGGACCTAGGAGGCACCTTGGGGGTATGATGCTTGCCTGGCATGTATCCAAGCATCACAGAGGGAGAAAAGAAAAAAACAACCTAAGCTTTTTTTTTTTTTTTTTTTTTTTTTTTAAGACAGCGTCTCATTATGTATTCCAGGTTGGTCTTGACAACTCTTGGCAATCCTCCTGCCTCATCCTGCTCAGTGCTAGGATTATGGGCCTGAGCCAGCATGCCCAGCTTAAACTAAATTTTGTATCACCCCTAATAATCAACAACAGGAGGTCAAGAGGAGAAATCCATACAGAAATTGCAAAAGAATGGCCAAGAAGATGAGAAGTAAATCAAGACAATATGATGCCTGGAAGCCAAATGAAGAAGCATTCTGAGTTTTCTGGCTTGCACTACTAGAGAAGCACAGATGTAGAGGTCACCAAGGTAAGGAAATTCTACATGAGGATCATGTTCGTCACACGATGAGTTTGGTTTTAAATATGGTGAGGTGTATTACCAACAATGAATAAGGAATGGCAAACTGTAATTTCAAAAGCCTGGGTTCGGCCCCTAATTCTTTGTTTGCTCTGGGTTGAGTGTATCATTAACTTCCTAGACTCACTTCATTCCTATAATGTGGAGGTAACATTTATACAAGTAGCCACAAATGGTTACTATGTGGATCAAATGAGTTTTGTCTTTATTTTTGTTTGCAGGCAAAGGATCAGACCTAGCCTTGGGCATGCCAGGCATGCATGCCACCACTGAATCACATCTTCTGTTGATCAAATGATATAATTAATTTTTTTGTGCCAAGCACTATGAGAACACAAGAAAATGACAGAATAGAGAAAGATGGCTGGGCGTGGTGACACATGCCATAATCCCAGCACTCAGGAGGTAGAGGCAGGAGGATGGCTGTGAGTTTAAGGTCAACCTGGTCTACATAGTGAGTTTAAGGCTAGCCTGAAGCACATAGTGAGACCTAGCTTTTTTTTAAAAAAAGTATGGCATTTTTAAAAACAGAAGCAAAACTTAGAAATCCATTGAAGAAAGACTATTGGAAACCAAACTATGCCTATAAAAGACCATTCATGTTGTACTGTCAGCTGTGTCCTGTTGAATTCCCACTTTACTTCAAAGACAATAATCCTAATAATTCTTAATCTTTTCTTCAACACTTATTCAGTGTCCCAATATCCTTACTTAACATATGGCTTATCCCTGAAGATACACTTACCTTGAATCTATTCATGATAACCTATCATTCTACACATACACTTTACCATTTTTTTTCTCATATGCTATTTCCTGTTCATACAATTTCCTACCCTCCTCCCACGTAATTCTCTATCAAAATTCTAACTATCCACAAAGGACTACAGGGCCATCAAAATCATGAAGACATCCATAGTCCCAAGTCTCTCTCACAAGAGAGACTTCTTTAGAACTACCACAGCATAATATCCACCTGCTATGTCCCATTCTTCCCTTTAGTTTTATTATCCATATTATATAGAAATCTACTTTATTTATTTATTTATTTATTTTTGCGGAACTGGGGATTGAACTCAGGCCCTTACGGAGCCATCTCCGCAGCCCCTAAAATTCTATTTTAAATAGATTTCAAGTTGAATTATTTATTATTCTTACCAAGTCTTTGTGTCAGTCGGTTCTCCTAAAATATTCCCTTTCAGCTGGGCATGATGGCACATAGCTGTAAACATACTCTAACAACTTGGGCAGCTGAGGCAGGAGGATGCAAGTTTAAGGCCAGTCTAAAACTTATCAAAACAGTAAAGGATGAAGCAGTAGTCCAAAGTCTGTGGGTTCGATCACCAACACCAGTATACACACACACACCACACCTTCTTGTGAACATGCACTTAATGAACTTGACCTATTGAAAGTTTTTTTTGTTTTGTTTTGAGATAGGCTGGCCTTGAACTGGCACTGATCCTGCCTCAACCGCCAGAATGCTGGGATTACAGGCAAAACATTTGCCACCATCCCTGACAAAAATATTTCTTTTTTTTTTTTTTTTTTGACAAAAATATTTCTAAATGTTACTGTACTCACGTTTTTTACTCTGCTTTTCAACTTCTGCCTTCAGTCTTTTGTACTTGTCTGTTCTGTAAACCAGGACCCAGGTAATGCCTAAAACATTAATGACGACAAGGTAATAGGGGACAGGATTGGGCCGGTGACAGCAAACTGATACCAGCTAGAGGTTATTGTTGGAGGTCAGATTTCAACATAGGTGAACTTCTTCAAACATGAATACAATGACTCTTCAACCAAAACAACTGCAACCTGATGTGAAAGGGTCCACAACTAGGGCGGTGAAATCTGGACTAAAGAAAACTTCCTCGCCCCGCTCCCGCTCCACCTTCCAAGGGTCGCCCGCGGACTTCCTGGAGCAGACGACCCCACCCACGACAGCTGAGGCTCGACTGCCCCCTGCGGTTCCAAGGGCCCCGAATGCCCTCCTCCCTGAAACTGTCAAAGGTCCGAGAAACGGCCGTGCTCACCCTCGGCCAGCAGAGCCGTGCACACGGAGATAAAAACGATCAGGAGAGTGTCTGCGAACATGGTGCTCATCTCGCGCCCCGCCCTGCACTCCCACCCGCCGGGGAGCGAAAAGGCAGGGAAAGACACGCGCAGCCCACTTCCCCGGGACCCGGGGGCCGCCGACCACCGAGGGAGGAGGGCGCCGACTTTGACAGGCAGGAGGAGACACTTCCGCTTCCGGGACGCGGCGCCGGAAGCACGCGCTGCAGCCCAGCGGAGCAGTCCCGCGGATTTGGGGTGCCAGCCCCGAAGTCTCGCGGGCTAGGGGCTGGCGCGCGCGGGAGTCAAGTTCCAACTCTCGCGAGACTTGGAACTCGCGTCCACGGAGGCAGGACTGCCGCGGTGGCGGTCTCTGCGTCCTGTGGCGCGTACTGGCGGGCTGATCCCCGTTACTTGGGCTTTAGCCCGAAGGCCAACGCTATGGCCGTCATCTAAGATACGTTGGCCTAGTGTTGCTGTGTAGTGGACTGACTTCAGAAATGTGTACCGGACCCCCGGGTTTAGGCTCCAGAAGTAAGAGGGAAAGTTGGACACGCGGTGTGTTTAGGACTTCCGTAGAGAGATGTTCAGAATGTGGCAGTGACACGGTCCACGGGAGATGAGAAGAGTGGAAGCCGTGGCTCAGGAGTCCTTTTGGACAAAGCGAAGAACTTTTAGACTAGGAGGGGCAGACACAGATGCCTGGAAATACGTTATGTGTGAAAGAGCGGCGAGGTGTGCCTAGAGAAGGGGTCATGAGCGCAGACGCGCCTCCATACGAATTAGATTGCGCCACCTGGGCTGAAGAGGATGGGGGCGGGAACCTGTGATCCGGCGTCCTGGAAGCTGAGTCAGGAGGAGGAGGAGGGCAGCCTGCCTGGGCTGCATTGTGAAACCCTGTCTCAGAACAAGAAAAAAGTGGGAGGAACCGAGATGTGTTGCCAGGTCACTAAATTGGTATGAAAGGAACATTTGATATCCGCATCTAACTCCTTTTTTTTTTTTTAGGGTGGTTTTACGTATGTAGACCTTACTGCATAAATGTGACTGAGTTTATTATAGAGAAAGGTAACAAAATGAGTTTCAAAGAAGACGTGGAGACACAAACTGGATGTGAACCTGCTAACCATTGGCTTCAGCAGCCCTGCCATGGATCTGGATGATTTTTTCTCATCAAGAAGTTGATCTTTCGAGCCATTTCCATGTTGTAGATCCGCCGGCAGGTTTCATAGCTTTCCCGCTGGCGGCGGCGGCAAGGCTTTTCATAATATCTTCGTCGCTTAATGTCCTCAATGAGCCCATCCATCGTGAGAATTCTGTTTAGTGTCCTGTATGCACCTTCTACGTTCCCATCTTGTGCCATCACAGTCCTGGCAATGAACTTCAGATGTTTTGCCATGATCTCGGATTTAAGTCTTCACTCTGCAGAACCATCCGCCATTCCTCCGCGGCGCGGGGTCCTCTAACTCCTTTCTTTAGAGACTGGACCTACCCAATTTCCGAGGTCTTTCTGTTTTTCTCATGAAAGCCCAGAAATCCTGATGTTTATGTTAAATTCGTAAGTATTCCTAATTTACTGAAATTCAGAAAGATGTTCCATCTAGTATTCCCCAGGGAAATTACCTATTATAAGGTACACTAGAAGTATCCTGTAAAATCTTGCTTAGGGGCTGCTGTTTACTCAGTGGTTTAAAGCGCCTGTGGATCGATCCCCAGCTACAAGTGCCACGTGAGACTCACCGGAGCCAGCCAAAAAAATCCTCCTAAGGGCCGGCCAAGTAGCTCAGCGGATTAAAGCTCCTGCTTAAGCGGACGACACAGGGGCCAGGGGTTCAATCACCGGGCCTTCCCTGTCACCCCCTCCTCCCTGCTCCTCCCATCGGCCCTGCCCCCGGGGGCGTGCTGAGACTGGGCGTGGTGGGACACACCTGTAACCCCAGCATAGTCAGATCTGTGTAGTGAGACCATATAGACCCTATACTAAATACAAAAAATAAAACCTTGCTGGGCATGGTGCTGCAGACCTACGGTAATCCCAGCACTCAGGAGGCTGAGGCAGGAGGATAAGTGCAAATTCAAGGTCAGTTTGAACTACCTAGGGAGACCTTGTCTCAAACAAAAGAAAATTAAAAATTAGGAAAGCAAAGTTCTTCCTCAGAGTTGGGAAGGCTCCAACAAGACATTTGACAGTAGAATAAGTGCTTCCCTGGCAAGCGCAAGGGCCTGAGTTCAATCCCCGGTTCCACCAAAAACAAAAACCAACAAGACATTTGAGGTAGGTTTTTGTTCAACCTCATGTCACCAAAACAAATGCTGAGATATGAGTGACATTTGACGTCAGGCCTGATTTTCTTTTTTTTTGTTTTAAACTTATTTATTTTAATTGTGTGTGTGTGTGTGTGTGTGTGTGACCAGCTCAGCCCACCAGGGGGCGGGGCTGGCTGGCCTGTGGTGCTGGGGGATTGAACCGCGGTCCCTGTGCTTTGCTAAGCTTGTTCTAAGTAGGTGCTTTAGACCACTGAGCCATCTCACCAGCCCCAGGCCTGATTTTCATTGTTAGCTCAGCTACTGAAATGAAGCTGTGCTTGAAGATACCGCTTAGCGTCTTTGGGCCTGTTTCCTTACCTGTAAAATAATGGCAGTCACAACAGCTGCATAAAGCTGTTAGGAAGACTGAATGAGAATGAGAACGTGAAGCTTTTAAGGCTTAGCACACACAGTTTAAGTCCAACATGCTGGTTGTAGGAGTGGACCATTAATTTATATACATTAAAAAAAAAAAAAAAAACCTAAACCACAACACACCAGTGGTTGTCAGATGTTCATACAGAGGTGTTAAAATGTGAAGAAAAAAAACTTGGAATCAGTGAAATAACTGATTAAAAGCATTTCAAGTATTCCTATGGAGATATCCACTGTAGAAAGAGACTGCTAGGATCATACTTTGCTGACACAGTGATGTCATAACATTATGTTTTGAAGAGAGGCAAGTTGAAATAACATCTTTTGCTGGGTACAGCGCTGCATACCTATAATCTATCCAACGCCAACCTGGGCACTGGTGAGACCCTGTCTCAAAACACAGCTAAGGTGTAGTTCAGCATGTACACGGCCCTGGGTTCAAGCACTCATACTGCCAAAAAAGGGGGCGGGGGCAGGAATGGGAACTAGTTCAGTGGTAGAACACTTGCCAGGCATTGTGAGGTCCTGGGCTCAATCCTCAAAGTTCTAATATAATATCTCAATGTATTTTCTTCTTTCTACCATGTCTCCATCATAGTCTTGATTTCTCAAGCTATCAGTATTAATTGCTAGTTTTTAGATTTTAGAGTTTTCCTCATGAAAACCACTCTATGCTGTGGTACATCCTCAAATAACTTCCTGTGGAAGGTGTATCTGAGCTAAACCTGTGTTAAGATATTATTAGTAGAATCAATAATAATAATGTTCTTTAAATAAAGAGTCCTAGGCTAGACATTATAAAAGAATATAAAAGAATTATAAACTTCTTCTTACAATCAATCAGGTATGATAGAATGTGGAAATTACATTGCAATCCTAACCCTGCTACTTTCAAGCTAAATTACTTTACAAGTTATTAATTTCTCTGAGTCTCATTTTCTAAAATCTGTAAGTAGTGCTAAAAATATCAACCCTCCAGAATTACTAAGAAGTTTATATAGGGTAACTGCAAGGTTCTGAAATCAGACTATTTGTCCTCAAATCTGGCTACATTGATCAACTAGATGTGCAGTTTTAGGCAAATTTTTTCTCCACACTGTATCGATTTACTTGAATGTTAAACGGTATAATAATGCCAGTATCTAGGTCCAAAGGATTTTACTTTGTTCTTTGGGGTTTTTTTTAATCTTAGGAAAGGGTCTACAGGGTGTTCAGGGACTCACTACTAGATCAGACATAGTGATCCACTTGTTTACAGCTTCCAAAGAGCCAGGATTACAGGCGCACCACCACACCCAGTCTCAATTGCCCTCTCAGCACATCCCAGCAGTGAGGCTGGCACAGCAGGCCTGGGGATCGAACCCCTGGCCCCTGGGCCTGCTTGCTGGCTCTTTAATCTACTGAACTATTTGGTTGGCCAGATTTTACTTTTAAAAAGGGTGTAGGAATAGAAACTGGGCATGGTGGTGCACACCTATAATCACAGCACTCTGGGAGACTGAGGCAATAACAGTGTAAGTTGAAGCCAAGCTTGGACAACTCAGTTGCTTAGAATCTTCTTTACAATGAAATAAGTGCTTACCTGGCAAGCACAAGGTCCTGTGGTCAATCCCTGGTACCAGCAAAAAAAAAAAAAAAAAAATCTTATTTGTAAATAAAGGGATAAGGATGGAGCTCAGTGCAAAGTTTCCATCCTTGAGGGCCAGGGAGAGAGCCCAGTAGAATAAGCACTTGCCTGGCAAGTGCAAGGTCCTAAATTTAATCCCTGGTACTGAAAAAAAAAAAGTTCTATGGTTCCATCCTCAGTACAAACACACACACACACACACACAACAAAACAAAACCCAGAGAATTTAAAGTTACAATGAGTGTTAACTATTGTTATTGGTTCTATCAAACCAGTAAGCACATAATTCCTGAACGATCTTTTTCATTCTCTAAATAAAGAGTACACTACCATCTTATAACTTTTCAAGCCTAAAATAAAAGCACCATACTCAAACGCCCTCTTTTTTTTTTTTTTTTAATGTATTTGGTTGTTGCAGGGTCTCAGTACACAGCTCAGACTCCTGGTGATCCTCCTGCTTTCAGCCTCCTCAGTGATGGGATCGCAGGCATGCACCTCCACACCTGGACTCTGGCCAGCTCAGCCCACCATGGGGGTGGAGCTGGCGAGGTGTGTGGTACTGGCTGGGGATCAAACCATGGTCCCTGTGCTTTCTTAAGCAGGTGCTTTAGTCCAATGAGTTATCTCACCAGCCCTCAAACTCCCTCTGCATACCCCCCAAACTCCTCCCATGTCTGTGTACCAAGTTCGATAAATTCTTCTTTCAACACATTTTTTCCCACATCTTTAAATCCCTTGTATTATACTTAATTCAGGTCACCATTGTCTTTATTTCTCTTACATCTTTCTCCATTATCTCCAGTTATATACCCAGTTGTTCTGTCCACTCCAAGGCATTTTCTTTTCTTTTTTTTTCTTTCTGTATTTTAGGGAAGGATCTGCAGTGTTCAGGGTCTTACTACTAGATTGGACTAGTAGT